TGAAACCCAGGACTCTGGTTGCATAGGCACTGGAGGGAAACTCCTGGTCTGCAGGTTGCAAAGACCATGGGAAAAGTGCAGTATCTGGGCCAGTATCCCTCATAGTACAGTCCCTGATGGCTGCCCTTGGCTAGGATAGGGACCCCCCCACACCCCTTGCACTTCCCAGGTGAGGCAACATCACACCCTGCTTCAGCTTGCCCTCCGTGGGCCGCACCTAATGTCCAACCAGCCCCAGTGAGATGAGCAAGGTACCTCAGTTGGAAATGCAGAAATCACCTACCTTGTGTGTTGACCTTGCTGGGAGCTGCAGACTGTAGCTGTTCCTGTTCAGACATCTTGCCAGCCACTCCTCTATGTTCTTGAATTTCATGTAAATGGAATCATATCATGTATACCTTTGTGTCTGACTTCTTTCACTTATCATTGTGTCTGTGAAACTCAACAAGTTGTTGTTATGTAACATGTATTTTTTAAAGTTAATAATAATAATATAGATGCTGTCATTATAAAGAAAATTATCTGGAGAAGAGGCAAATTGGGCAAATATTTTCTCTTCTTTGTTTAGTACTGGGTCTAAATGTTACCAATGTTACTTCACATACTTGAGTGTGTAAGAAATGTATTATTTCTTTAAGGCAAACTAAATCTGACTCAGCCAAAATCTAGTGAGTTTGGGGAAAATTCAATGTCAGTCAATATGCACACACGCATATTTGAAAAACAAGAAAACTTTAAAAGCTATGGTCAAAATTTCCTCATTAGCAAAAAAAGAAGAATTAAACTCAATAATAGAAAGAAAGAAATAATAAAAACAAAATCAGAAATTAATGAAATGTAAAGCAGGCAAACAAAATTAGTAACCATTTTTAATTGATAAAATTTAATTAAAAATTGGAAAACTTCTAAATAGACTATTAAAACAAACAGAGAAACACAAATTACTGATATCAAGAATGAAATAAGTCTCTTGTTTCTTCTCTTGACCTCTTTCCTTTATACATTTTTTAAAAAGAATGAAAGATGATTGTTATGACTCTTACAGGCGTTAAAAGAATATTAAGGTAATATTAGGAACAACTTGATACCAATACATTTAACTTAGGTGAAATGGACAAATCTTCCTGGGCAGTACAACTTACAAAATTGACTCAAGAAGAAATAGTCTTAATAACTACAGGCCCAAAAATTTTCACCAATACATTTTATCAATCATTTAAGATAAAAATAATACCAATCTTAACAATTTATTTCATAAAATAGAGGAGGAGGGAGTTCTTAACAACTCATTTTAAGGGGGCAACAAAACCTCAATATCAAAACTTGACAAACATATAGAAAAACTTTTTTTTTTTTTTGAGAAGGAATCTTGTTCTGTCACCCAGGCTGGAGTACAGTGGTGCGATCTTGGCTTACTGTAATCTCTGCCTCCCGAGTTCAAGTGATGCTCCTGCCTCAGCCTCCTGAGTAGCTGGAATTACAGGCAACTGCCACCATGGACGGCTAATTTTTGCATTTTTAGTAGAGACAGGGTTTCTCCAGGTTGGCCAGGCTGGTTTTGAACTCCTGACCTCAAGTGCTCTGCCCACCTCAGCCTCCCAAAGTATTAGGATTACAGGCATGAGCGACTGCACCTGGCCTAGAAAAAAATTTAAACCCATCTGTTATTAATATAGATGTAGAAAATCTCAAAGAAATAGTAGCTTACAAAATCACATGATAATATAAAAAGGCTAGCTAATGCGTCATGAACAACTAGCATTTACTGAAGAAACTCATTTGGCTCCACATATAAAATGCAATTAATGCAATTTACTGCAAAAAGGGGAACAAATATAATTGCTCAGTGGGCACCAAAAGGCATTTCACTAATTCAGCATTCATTCATGTTAAAACTCCTAGAAAACTAGGAATAGAAAAAAAAACATTCTTCCACCAGATAAAAGTGACAATGAAAAATCAGCAATTAACGCCTCACTTACTAGTGAAAATGTCCACCCTTTCCCTCTAAGATATGAAATAAGATAAGGATGCTCCGTTTTACCACTTTTATTTAAAATTTTACTGGTGATTTTAGTCAACACACAAGTTAAAGGAAAACAGACAAGGAAAAAAGACAAATGACTTTTTTAAAGATAAAGAATGGAAGGGATAACATAAAACTTTCTTCATGAATAACCTGATTTTCTATATATGAAATCCTAAACTATTAGAATTGAGTCAAAATATACAAACTCAATTGTATTTCGATAGACTAGCCTAAACAAACAATTGGGAAATGAAAAATTTTAAATATCATTTATAATAGCACAAAAAACACACAATACTTTGAAAAGATGTGCAAGACCTCTACACTTGAAAACTGCAAAACATTGTTAAGCGAAATTAAACAAAAATTTAATGGAGAGATGTACCATGTTCATGGATTATAAAGATACAAAATTTTAAAGATATTATTTCTTACCAAATTGAACTATAGATCCAGTGTAATATCAACCAAAATTCCAGTAAGGTTTTTTTGTGTGTGATAGGAACTGAAAAAGATGACCCTAAAGTATGTATTAAAATGCAGAGAGCATAGGATAGCCAGAACAAGTTTGAAAAGGAACAAAGTTGAAAAACTCACCTGATTTCAAGTCTCAGTATAAAGCCCCAGTAATAGTGTAGTTATTATGCAAGACAGAAATTTTTAAAAATCAATAGAAGATAGTAGTGACAGGGTAGTCATTATGTACAGAATTATGTCCCCCAAAATTTATATATTGAATCCCTAATCCCCAAAGTGACTATATTTAGAGACAAGGCATTCAAGGAGGCAATTAAAGTTAAATGGGGTCATAACGATAGGACTATGATTTCATAGAATTGATGTTCTTCTAAGAGTAAGACACAATGAGGATATGCAAACATGGAGAGACTTCATCAAAAACCAACTGTGCCAGCACCTTGATCTTGGACTTCCAGCCTCAAGCAATGTGAGAAAATTAAGTTCTGTTGTTCAAGGTACCCAGTTTGTGATATCCTGCTATGGCAGCCCTAAGAAAGTAATACAGATTTAGTACTGATGTAAAAGTAGATATATAGATCAATGAAACAAAACAGAATCTACAAATAAATCCACATAATACATGGTGAATATATTTTTGACAAAGACAATAATGTAATTCAATTAGGAAAATATTAATCTTCTAAAACATAATTTTAGAACAACTGGACATTCATACAAAAAAGTTAATCCCTACTTCCCATCAAATACAAAAATTAATTCAAAACGGATCATACTCCTAAATGTAAAAGTTAAAATGATAAAACGTCTAGAAGAGGAAAAAGTCTTCACAACCTTGAAGAAGGCAAAATTTTCTAAACAACACATAAAAAGCACAATCACAAAAGGAAAAACTTTGGTGAAATGGTCTTCATCAAAACTGAAATCTTTTAATTTTCAAGACACTGATAAGAACTTGAAAAGACAAGATGCAGACTTCTAGAAAATATATTCACAATCCAAATACCTGTCAAAGGACTCATACCCACTATATGTAAAAAAAAAAAAACAAAACTATTACAACTTAAGAAGAAAAAGATAAATAGTCCAATTAAAAAATGGGTGAAAGACCTAAATAGACACACCACAAAAAACAATACATGAATTATGAATGCTGAATAAGCACATGACAAGATGCTCAACATCATTAATCATTAGGGAAATGCATATGAAAACTAGATTGAGATATCACTACACAAGCAAAATACCTGAAATTAAGACTGCGACATTTTGGGAGACCAGGGCAGAAGGATCACTTGAGTTCAGGAGTTCAAGACCAGCCTGGGCAACATAACGAGACCTCATCTCTACTAAAAACATTTTTTTAAGTTAGCCAGGCATGGTGATGCACATCCGTAGTCCCAGCTATTCAGGAGGCTGAGGTGGAAGGATGGCTTGAGCAGGGAAGTCAAGGCTGCAGTGAGCCAAGGTCACACCACTGCCCTCCAGCATGGGTGACAGAACAAGATCTGTTCTCAAAAAGTAAAAAAGATTGACAATACCAAATGTTGACGAGGATGTGGAGCAACTGGAACTCTCGTGAATTGCTAATGAGAATGAAAAATAGTGCAAACACCTTGGAAAACAGTTTGGTGGTTTCTTCTAAAATTAAACATACATTTACTATATAACCCAGCATTTGCATTTCTGAATATTAACCCAAGAGAAATATGAACATATGTTCACACAAGGATTTGTATATGAGTGTTCATAGCACTTTTATTCATAATACCGCCAAACTGGAAACAACCCAAAAGTCCATCAACAGGTAAAGAAACTAATTATACAATATTCAGTGTCCATATAATATAAATACTCGTCAATAAAATACACAATATACTCATCAATAAAATTGAGCACAAAAAATTGAGGCATTTTAAAAATGTTATCTTAAGCAAAAGAAACTAAATGCAAAAACACACACACTGTGTAATTCCACTTATACAAGGTTATAGAACAGGCAAAACTACTCACAGTAACAGAGAACAGATTAATGGTTCTCTCCAGGAAGGGCAGGAGTGAAGATGGAATTAACAGCAAAAGGGCATGAGGGAACTATGATGATGGAAATGTTCTACATCTTGACTGGGGTGACAGTCTACAGGTGTAGACATTTATCAAAACTCATCAGACTATACATTTTAAATGTGTGCATTTTGTTGTACGTAAATTATACCACAATAAAGTTGATTGCTTTTAAAGATCAATTAAAACAAAAAATGTTTAAATGAGAGAAAACATAAATCGATTATCAGTAACTTGCCACGTTATCTATTTCTTCAAAGTTTGGAAGTTTTGTAGTAAGCAAATGTGACTTAGATAACTGGAACAAAAGTTAAGCTCAAAAAACTGTCTTATAAGCACTCCCATGTCTGGCCCTTTGTGATAGAAGTAGGGGGAGCTGGAGAGAATTTATCCTCATGTCCTTCTTCCTCCTCCTCTTCTTGCACCCTAGACTCTGTTGACATTGCTGATCTTGGTGCTGTACTTGAGCACAGGGATATCGGGTGAGCATTCTGGAATCGGAGAAAAGAGGAACCAAATCCACATGAAGCTTGGTGGAGTATTCCAAAGATGGTTGCATCTTAAGGGGACCTCCATAACCTGCCTTCTCCTACTGACCCTTCATTGCACTGGGATGACAGACCATGTTTATTTTAATTGGCACTCATTTGCTCTTAAGAGGTGATGTTTGTGCCTATTTCAGGAAGCAGCTGGGAGGTGTCAGAAAGGATCCGAGAATGTAACTACTACCAGAGTCTTGGCGATTCCCAGGTAACATATCCAGCAAGGTACTGAGGTGAGGCAACCTGGGAATGCTTTCCAGAGGAGGTGTCATTGGCAACATGGGTCATGAAAGATAAGTAGGAGCTGGCCAAATGTAGAAGGTGGGGACAGATACTATAAGCCAATGAATAGCACATGCAAAGGCCCAGGGATCTTTTTGAAACCAGTTGGGGCAGGGAGGAAGTTCCTATCTGAGAAAGCACAAGATGCCACTCGGGTGTCTGCCTTCCAGGGGCTTGAATATCAGACCAATGAGCCCTCGGAAGAACCGATAAAGGCCATCAGGAACTGGTTGAAGGAGAACTTGCATGTCTTCTTGGAGAAGCTAGAGAAAGAGGTGCGAGAGCTGGAGCAGCTCGTGCGGGACCTGGAACTGTGGCTGGATGTTCTTCTGGGAGAGTCACACTTGGAGGAGCACTGCTCCACACTTAAAAGTCACATATGACGAGCGGGTCTGGGGCCTGGGGAGAGCACGAAGGGGGAAGGGGTTGCCAGGGGTTTCTCTAAGCAGGGCAGAGCTCTGACTCTTGAAGTTCCAAGCAGGCAAGAAAATAAAGTAGTTGGGAAATGAAGTCCACTGTTGACATTCATGAATGCTGAAAGAAACAACCTTCGGGGAACACCAGAGCTGGCCTGAGATATCCTCCCTGGCACCATGATGTGGTCCCCCGGAACCAACACGGGCTTCAGAGCCAGCCAAGGGTTCAGGACTCTTCTATTTTCTTGAGACGTTGTGTAAGTTTCCTTAACCTGAGACTGAGTTTCCTCACATATAAAAATCAGGGAAACACACTTTGCCTTATAGGAAGACAATATGTCGAGGGTGTGTTTGCAGAGTGTATCTGGCACATAGCCGGTATCAGATAAGCGGCTCTTCCTTTTTTACATGTCTCTTTCTTCCTCCCTGGAGTGTGACAGGAGGATACTAGTTCTGGCTGAGTGCGTGGATATTATGGGGCATTCAACCAGCTGACTGTGCTGGTGGAAGTATACGTTTCTGAAATCTCTATTTGGTGATAACTATCAAATTTACAAATGCATTTTCTCTTTGACCCAACAGTCTGCTTCAAGGAATTTATCCCACAGCTACATTTTCCCACACATCAAATTGCATATGTATAAGATTATTCACCCCAGCTTTATTTGCAACAGCAAAAAAATGGGAGCAGTCTAAATGATACCAGGAGGGCTCTGGTCACATAAGTTATGGTAGAGCCAGACAATGAGCAATCATGTAGCTATAAAAGAGACTAAGGAAGCTTTCTACTGTGGTGTGAATATGGGTGACCTCCAAAATGCATATATTGGAACCTAATACCCAATGTGATGGTGTTAAGAGGTGGAGCCTTTAGGAGGTGATTAGGTCATGAGGATTCTGCCCTCATTAGTGAGACTAATGCCATTATATTAGTAATTAATAGAGGCTTGTTAGTGCCATTATATTAATAATAGAGTCTTGAGGAGCCTGATTGCTCCTTCCATCATGTGAGGACACAGCTGAAGTTGCCTGTTATGAGGAACAAGTGTTCACCAGACACTGAATCTGCTGGTGCCTTGATCTTGGACTTCCCAGCCTCCAGAACTGTGAAAAATTAATGTGTGTTATTTACAAATTACTCATTCTAAGGTATTTTGTTATAACTGCCCATATGGATGGGGCACTTTCCTCCTGCTGAGATGGGAAAGCCTGCAAGATATGTAGTTAAGTGAAAAAAAATTAAGGTGTAGGCCGGGCACGGTCTACTAAGGCTCAGCCTGTAACCCCAGCACTTTGGAAGGCCAAGGCAGATAAATCACTTGAAGTGAAGAGTTCGAGACCAGCCTGGCCAACATTGTGAAACCCCATCTCTACCAAAAATACCAAAAAANTCATTTTCATATCACTTTATTAGAGCTATGGATTTTTTTGAAATATCTTATTACTTTACAATTTCTGTAGTTATTAGACCTGCTCTACGATCTTAATATTTATTGTGTTAACAAAGAAAAATTTCTTGCCTAGGTAACATGGGTAACATGGTGAAACCCGTCTCTGGGAAAAAAAAAAAAAAAAAATAGCCCAGCATGGTGGCATGCGCCCGTAATCCCAGTTACTCGGGAGGCTGAGGAAGGAGAATTGTTTGAACCCAGGAAGCAAAGGCTGCAGTGAGTTGAGATGGTGTCACTGCACTCCAGCCTGGGCAACAGAGTGAGATTCTGTCTCAAAAAGAAACTAAGGTGCAAAAAGAGGGCAGAAGATAAGAATATACATTTTGTTGTTGATATTGGTGATGATGATGCTGATATTATTAAATATCCTTAAAAACCCTAGAAGGATACAACCCTGCCTGGGAGTGAGGGAATTTGAAACTGGGCAGATGTATAACAAGGATGGGAGGAAACTTTTCAGTATATTTTTCATGCTTTCTTGTTTTCACACTATCTGCATGTTTTGCTTATTCAAATATTTTTGAAAAACAAATTTCTATTTTACCTGCAGACAAGGACTGGAATATATGTATACAATCAAAAATAACAGTATTGCTATGATGAAATTATGAGTGAATTGATTTTTTTTAATAATTCCAAAAGGAAACACTTCTCTTTTGATTAATTTATTTTGATTAAACAATGATCATTTTTATGTAGGACTTCCGCTTTTTCCCATTAGCTCCAGGAAACTTAGAGTTTAGTTGTTCATTACTAGAATTTTATCAGCCTCATTGTTTGGGGTTATTTATTTTCCCCTTTCTATGACTTTTTGTTTTCTGTTTTGTTGGAGTTCTTATACATATACCAAATATTAGAGCCACCTGAAATCTTTGGATAGTCACGAGGGTTTCAATTACACGAGTCTGAGAGGACATCTGACTTACGGGGGATGGTACAGCAATTTGTTTGCCAGGAGGGATTAATCAATTGCCATTTGGGATGGAAAAAGTCTTTGCAAATTATGACCCCAATTTTCCACTTTGAATATTTGGCAGGGGATCGGGACCAGAATCTATGTTTTCCCATTTGCAGCTATTTCAGCAGGAGTTCTACGGGAAGGATCTGAATGACATTTGCTCGCATTTATAGTTACATATTACCATACAGTAGTTATGTATGTTTTTACATTATATTTATATATTACATATACTTATATTAATTATATTTATATATAATTAATATAATTTATATATTAATATATTTCTATGTTACATATACTTATGTTTATATTGCATATAAGATACAATTATAAATATATTGATAAAATATATATTTTATACATGTATACAAAACTGCGGGATACATTTTTAAAAAAAGAAAATGAGGGCTGAGCACGGTGGCTCATGCCTGTAATCCCAGCAAGCAAGCACTTTGGGAGGTCCAGGTGGGTGGATCATGAGGTCAGGAGTTCGAGACCAGCCTGACCACCATGGTGAAACCCCTTCTCTACTAAAAACACAAAAATTAGCTGGTCATGGTGGCACGTGCCTCTAATCCCAGCTACTCAGGAGGCTGAGGCAGGAGAATTGCTTGAACCCAGGAGGCGGAGGTTGCAATGAGCCACAAGCATGCCACTGCACGCCAGCCTGGGCAACAGAGTGAGACTATAATCTCAAAAAAAAGAAAATGAGATTAGGCACAGTGGCTCACGCCTGTAATCTCAGCACTTTGGGAGGCCAAGGCGGGCAGATGACTTGAGGTCAGGAGTTCGAAAGTAGCCTGGCCGACATGGTGCAACCCATTTCTACTAAAACTACAAACAAAATAGCCAGTCATGATGGCATGTGCCTATAATCCCAGTTTCTTGGGAGGCTGAGGCAGGAGAATCTCTTGAACCTGGGAGACAGGGGTTGCAGTGAGCCGAGATCTTGCCATTGCACGCCAGCCTAGGCGACAGAGTGAGACTCTGCCTCAAAAAAAAAAAAAAAAAAAAAAACAGAGCTTAGACCCTTGAGGAGTTAAACCACCTCTGTGGGTATTAGAGCCTCTGAGGAAGAGGAGCTAGCTATTTGGGCACCTCCCCTGTCCTCGCCATGCTGGTGTGGGCCCTTAACCCATTGATGGTGGCTACTTTTGGTGCGTTGGCTTGTGAGCCCATAAAGAACAGGGAGTCACTTGGAATAACTCGGGCAATGAGTTTATTGTGGTGCTACAAGGGAACCAAAATCTGCCCCAAAACCAGGGGGATGCCAGGACCTGGAATGGTGGAGACTGGGGCAGGGAGGTCTTTGAGAGTTCAGGATGGCTCCAGTGCCCAGCTGCAGGAATCCTGGAGCTCTCCTCCAGCACACCACCTTTATGTTGCCGCTCTCCAATGTTGGCTTCCTTTGTGTGTCTGCCCCATCTCTTCCTGCTTCCAAGCTTCGTATCTCGTCTTCAACTCTGCGCGTCTGCTTCTGATTCGTCATAACTCTGATTTACCCCTAGCCCCCTGTGGCTGCTGCCACTTACCTACCAACTTCTACTGACTGTGATTCTGCCCACATTCCCCAAGTCAAATCCCAGGAGAGGCAGGTGGGATATGACTGACCCATCTCATTGGCTGGGGCTCCTGAGCCAAGCCAGGCTCTACAAACCAGCCTGACTTTGGGATGACCTTGGGGTGATTGCCATGATGCAATCAGCAGTGGCAGGAGGGAGAGGGGAAGACCAAGTGATCCAGAACAGAGCTACCTCAAACAGGAAGCAGCCTGGGACCATTTCCTTCCACGGAGCTCTGGGCTGTACTAAGATGCCTTGACACATCACCCAAGGTGGTCATGAATGTGGCAGAGAGTATACTTTCGTGTCCTAAGGGTCAATACCAGGGCAGCAGAACTGCATGAGACAGACACTCAAAGGCCAGACCCTGGGCAGATTCCCAGACCTGAGCTAGGGCCATTGTGAGGGGAGGCAGATAAAAACAACTGCCGAGAATGAGGTGGGAGGTGCTTGGCCACCAGAGTCCCCATAGGTGAATGGGTCGGCCTGCCCCAAAAGCACAAAATAATAATTGGGGGATAGTTCACCATTCCTGGGTGTGAAAAAATACAAATGACACACTTAAAAGGAAGCATATTACTGCCTTTATGACTTTGAAGTCTGTTATGATTTGGATGGGGTTAGCAAAATGTTTCCCCATAGACCTATTAAGAAACTCACTTTCATATCGACAAAGTAGATTTCCCTTTGGGAGAGAGAATGTTCTTTGCTTGAGGAGGCCACTATTCACAGCTCCTTCCCTTCAATGAAGAAATGTTTATTGGGCCATGCATGTGCCAGCCGCTGGGAATGAGAAGTTTATAGGCTAATGGGGGAAACAAATAAAAAACAAGTAGAAAAGTCAAGACAAGGTGATTTCAGAGGATAACAAACAAGACCACTTAGCAAGCACTGCAGCTTTCCACGTGAGACATGGAGGCCTGGAATAGACTGCTGGGCTGGAGCTGGCAAGAAACGCAGAGACTCAGGGTGCAGTAAGTTTAATCCACCTAG